GCCTGGCTAAGAGCTGCCTTGCTGATTTCACTTATGAAAAAATGACAGGCTTACTGAGGGTGCTAACAGGATGAGGACCACCAGCATGCTCAGAGCTTACATGGATGAGTTCTGGTGAATAGCACTGCTCTGGTTTGAGCACCTTCCCCACTGGGAATCCTGGAGAATGGACCATGTGCTGCCATCTGCTCCAGTGCTTAGCCTTAGTCCATTTGCAGACTTTATAAGAAGTCCCTGGACTCTACACTGCAGTGGCTGAGAGGCAGGCATGCAATCCATCCCCTGCTGTAGGGCTTGAAGCCTTCCAGAAGGGTCTAAACATCCAGCTGAGCCTAAATTTGCCACCTGTTTGCTACATGGATGTGATAATCAGATCCTTTAGTTTGTATAGTGGTGACATCAATGAAGAGAATATTTTCATGACTGATGCCCTGAAATACTTTTCCTCCCACTAGGAAAGCGCAAGAGGAGCAAGCTGTTGGTGCCACTTACTGCGAAAAGATAGACAGCTTACTCCAGCAGGCAGATTTTGTGATGGTGGCGGTGAGCCTGACACCTCAGACACGCAACCTGATTGGGAAAAGAGAGCTGGAGCTAATGAAACCCACAGCTACTCTGGTTAACATCAGCCGAGGTACCGTCCAGAACAGTTGACTGGCCAGAAAGCACGGGCCAGCTCCCATTGTGTTACACACAGCGCTGTGCTGCAGCCACTGCACAGGTGGTGCACATAGCGAGGATAGATTGGGCATGGCAGAAATTCCTCTCTCTCCTCTTTCGTTCTCCTTTCACTCTGAGCTCATTACCTGCAACACAAGTTGCACTCAGAGACACTCTTATTCCAAACCAGGTGCAGTAGTCGACCAAGAGGCGCTGGTGATGGCTCTGCAGACTGGTGTTATCTGGGCCGCGGCTTTGGATGTAACCTACCCAGAACCACTGCCCAGGTTGTCATCTCTGCTTATTTCTTGGAAAGGATGGGTGAGCCCTGCCGAGGCTGAAGATATCCCTGCAGCAGGCAGGGATGTGGTTGAGGCAGCCACTGAGCTCCCTGGGATGGGGGTTTGGATAAAAGTGCCATGAATATGAATGGAATGCAGACCAGATGTTGGGGCTGATAACAGGCCAAGGGGAAGCCTGGGTGCCAGAAAACAGCAGGAGGCAGGGCGAGCATTAGACCACCTCTACAGAATCACCCTGTGAAGCTGCAGCAGTGCTTCACTTGCAAATTGCTTTATTAGAAGGTGCAACTTGCCATGAATGGGTGAAAGCTGCCTCAGCCATGTCTTCTGAGACCTGCTGCATTGCCCCCAGATGTCCTTCCCCACAGGCTTCCTTCCGCAATTTGAGGCTGAAGTACTGTAGCCCTCTTGGGCCCGGAGGCTGCTTGGCTTCTGTAGAAAGATGCCTCTACCAGGATGGTGCCTCTCAGAGTTAATTGTGCAGGCTGCATTTTGGGTTTGGGAGGAGTTTGGTCTTGTTATGCCTGTGTGGGAATGAATAACTAAGGCTCAGACCATTGTGTAGTGTGAATATGTCAGGAGGACTTAATCCTCTCTTCTGACATAGTTTGAATTGCTGCCTAATGGCAAAAATCTGTTTCTGGAGAAAAGAGCACGATATAAACTCTTAATGTGTCCTCTTACAGTCCAAAATTACTTCAGCACAGGTGATCAGGTTCTGTGGTTCTAAGTGGGACTTGTTATATCAAATTAACTTCAAATAAAGTGCAAAAGCTAAAGTAGGAGTCCTCTGTTTGGATGAACAACAGTAGATAACAACTCTTTTTTCTTTTTTTCCAGAGATCATCCTTTGTTAAAATTAAAGAATGTCATTATAACGCCTCACCTCGGCATTAAAACAGACAAGACCACTTACATGATAACAGAGGAAGCAGTTGAAAACATACTAGCAGCTCTAAATGGTCTCCCCATGCCCAGTGAAGTGCTCCCTAGTTGATGTGCAAAAGGATAACACATCTCTTTTTATTATTTTCTTTCCCCCTATCAGCTCTAAAGGTTTTTATTCTTATGTTTTTTCCCTTAAGACAAACCTATTTCAAGCTCATGAATATAGATTTCCTGCCTCAGCTTTTTTTGCCTACACATAATGTAGACAGAAGAAATGTATGTCCTTGTCCAGTTTCATGCTTAAGCTAGTCAATACAACCCAGCTGGGAAATGCATACATTTTGTTGCATGAAAGTCTTTTAGGGTAACGCAATACTTCAAAAGCCTAAACCTAAGAAACAGTTATTGTGCAAGCACCTTATTAACACTGCAGGCATCAGCTCACTCTGCAGGATTACATGGACACCAGTGGTAATATTTAATGATGGGATGAAGTTCACAGACTACGCAATACTTCTCTCCACATAGCCACAGACCCATTTCAGAGTGCTCTGTACAATGCTGGTATAACAGATCCCTTTCTATTATAGAAAACTAATAGCACACAGCAACATAATGTGATTGAGCTTCACAGACTACGTGGAGCTCTATAAGGTACTCTATAAATTAAATCTACTTAGAACATGGTACTGCTCTGGTACAATTGTCTTCTTCTGTCACATATGTTGCTATACAGATATATCTCCAATAGAGATGTATCAGCTCCTGAACTATAGCTTTAAAATTAGATGTTCAAGTTGCACAATAAAAACTTTGAAGCCATCTGATTCCCTCCACATCTAACCACATAACACATCCGTTTTCTTCACATTTGATAGGTATGTCCTGGATTTTTGCTTAAAAAAGGGTAACATTCCTTTAATTATTATTTTATGGCTCCTCTAACAAATCGTTCCTTCATTTTGTTCATTCAAATTTGTTGATTTGATATACAAAGGAAAAAACTCCCATGTTGTGCTTTCAGTGGTTTTTTTTTCCTTCAGAACTAAAATGTGTAGATAGGCCTCCATTCTCAATTCATAGGGAGAATAACTTTGAGAGGGACTTTACAGTGGTCCTTTGATCTCAGGTAACAGTGAGCAGTAAGTTAAAAGATCACCCATTACATCTTATCAGCAAAGCAGTTTGGAAGTTTTGGATATGAAACAGGTAATGTGTAAGCATTTTATGGTTTGTTCGGGTTTTTTTAAGGAAGAAAATTCAAGTAGACTTAACTAAGAATCTAGTTAATATGCTGTAACTCCATCTTGCTAGTTAATGAATTTTTGCTTTAAATGTCTGAACTTGAAATTCATGTAAGCAAATCACACTAAAAAATCATTACCAGGATAACAAGAACAATATATATTGTTTTATATCATTACTATGAAATGTTATTATAGTTTATCTTTTTATTTGTAATTTTATAGAGGATTTGGTATTAATCTTGACTGCCTTAATGTTCAGCATATTAAAATGTAGAATTCAAGATGATAGGATTTTGTAATCCATTCTTTTGAAAGCACTACAGCAGTCAGGAGAGACACAGCAGCACCCCATGGCTGGTTATTTCTTAGTGTGGAAGGAAGGAGAGGGATTCCTGGTGCCCACAGCAGTGGTGTGGCCCGGCTCCTGAGCTGCTGTCATCACAGAAGCTAGGCCTCCTCTCCAGTGGCTGCTGACCAGCTAGGGGGATCACTTCAACGCAACCTTAGTGAACCCAGTACTGAAGCTGTAATTCCCAGCCTCCATCTCCGGGGATGGAAGTTGAGGAAGGTGATTCTGCCCTTCTACTCTGCTCTTGTGAGACCTGCCTGGAGTGCTGTGTGCAGATCTGGGGTCCCTAGCACAGGAAAGACATGGACCTATTGGAGCAAGTCTAGAGAAGGGCCATGAAGATGATCAGAGGGATGGAGCACCTCTCCTACGAGGAAAGGCAGAGAGAGTTGCGGTTGTTCAGCCTGGAGAAGAGAAGGCTCCAGGAAAATGTTATAGCAGCCTTCCAGTATCTAAAAGGGGCCCACAAGAGAGCTGGGGAGGGACTTTTTACAAGGGCATGTACTGATAGAACAAGGGGGAATGGCTTTAAGCTGAAGGATGTTAAGTTTAGTTTCAATATTAGGAAGAAATTCTTTACTCAGAGGGTAGCAAAGCATTGGAACAGGTTGCCCAGAGAGGTTGAGGGACATCCCTCAAAGTGTTCAAGGCCAGGTTGGATGAGACTTCAAGCAACCTGGTCTAGTGAAAGGCATTCCTGTGCACAGCTGGAGGGTTGGAATTAGATAATCTTTAAGGTCTCTTCCAACCCAAACCATTCTATGATCTACAGTGCAAGTAACCTTGTCCGGAAAATTTTCATGCATTTGTTAGCTGGGTTACACACAGGACTGCCTGTGGCTGGGGTAAGAGCTGTAGTGCCTAAGGACCTAAGCCTGGCCCAGTTGCTTTAGTCTCAGAGAGGTTTTGAGGATATGCCGAGAATCATTTAGGTTGGAAAAACCATTCGTGTGTGCAATGAGAGCTGTCACTGGTGTTTGCTGGTCAGAGACAACTCTTCGTCCCACATTAACTCCTGTGCAATGACTATGTGTAATGACCAACAGAGACACCAGACCACAGCTGGCCTTTGAAGACACTGTGGGGGGAAAAAGTGTGCTGGGCATTAATGCAAAATCCCTTTTATTTCGAAATCACAAATAGCGCAGAAACACGACACACTTTTTAAAAACCACACAACCATTTGCAGACTCCCGTTGCTGTCTCTCGGCTTCCCGAGGGATTGGAGTGCACCTCCCGCGCCCTTGCACCGCCTCTCCTCCCTGCACCGCCTCTCCTCCCCGCTCGGCCCCGGGCGGGGGTGCAGGCGGCCAGGCAGGCCCGGCTGGGCGCGGCGAGTCCCTCATCGCCCTTGCTCTTCGGGGTTGCGGCTCGGACGCGGCGGCGGCGAGCGGGGCCAGCAGGGTGAGTGAGAGCTGCGGCGGGACTGCGGGACCCCGAACGGGGTACTGGGAGCGCCTCTGCCAGGTGGCCGCCGAGGTCCCTCGGCTCTGGTGGCCGCGGCCCCACGGGGGGATCGGTGGCACCGTCGGTAGCACCGAGCGCGTTGGGCACGGGGGGCTCCCCCCGGTCCTCTGCGACCCTCCGTCGTTAAGGGCCGGACGGAGCCCTTCCCTTCCCGCTCCGGGTCCTTCGTATCTTTAGTCTCACTGGCAGGCCGGCCGGGACAGCTGCAAACACTTCGAACCAGGGCTCGACCGGCCCTGGACCGGGAATACCCTCCGTGAGGTCGGGGGAGGAGCGGGAGGCGCTGGCCCGGCGGTGCGGGAGCGCCTTGCCTTGGGCTGATAGGCAGCTGCGGGTCTCCCGTCTTTAACCTGTGATCACAGACTTGGTTCTTTCCGGAGTCGGCAGAGTGAAGAGTTGTCAGGACACTGAAGGAGACCGAAAAAAGAAAGGGTAAACTTATGTTCAGGAAGTAACTCGATAATTCCAAAGTTCGTAGTTGACAAATTACAGCTCTGTTAACATTAAATGAGATTTTTTTTCCTGAGATAATCTTATCAGTGCTAATTATTGAATATAGAAGTGGCAATCAAAGGCAGAATTTGGGGGTTAAAGGATTCCCTTCCACTCACATGGCCACATTCTCAAATTATCAAGACTTTGGCTTTTAAATATTGAATATTAAGCAGGAGTAACACCTGATAACTCATTTGTCTAAGTGTCAGCATAGTTGGCATGCCAGAAGTAATGTTTTCTTGTATTATTAATAAGATTATATAGAAATTGAACATCCTTCTGAATAACACAGTAAGAACTGAAAAATTCCTGCACGTGGGAGTGATTATCTTTAGCCAGCTCTTCCATAGTGGGAAAACAGCATGTAATGAAGCCAATCAATTCCTGTTTTTTAATAAAAAACAAGCTATAATGGATTGGTTAAGACCATGTCCTTTTGGTTCTCGTTGCTTTTGTAGGGCATGGAGGGTCAGGAACTGCCTTATGTGCTAATTGACTGTATAGGAGGGAAGCATGGAGTATATGAAGACCATGTTGGATTTCTGCAGAAACATTTTCATCTCATCACCATGAAAGAATATCTTGAAAATAAGACACTTCTCAGCAAAAAGATCAGAGCTATTTATATGTGGTATCACAAACCAGTTGTTAACAAAGAGCTGCTCCAGAGCTTGCCGAACTTGAGGATAGTTGCAAGTTCTGGAGTGGGAATAGATCACTTGGACCTGAACCTCCTCTCTAGCTTTGGTGTGAAAGTGTCCAACACTCCATTTATTGTTTCCACTGACACTGCAGACCTGGGAATGGCTCTGATGCTGGCATCTTCCAGGAGACTTGTGGAAGGTAATAACTGAAATGTTTTTAGTGTTTTTATAGAAAAAGTGACTTTGAAACCTGCAGAAAGTGAGTGCTGATGCAAAGGTAAGCTTAAAAGTAGAAATGTGGAAAATGCAGGACAAGGAAAAAGTTATCTGTCTTGTTAACAATAACTTGCATTTCCAAAAAGGCATATCAGCAAGGTAGATGTGTTCTTTCTTCAGATAGCCCTAAATTCAAGCCTCTTCTCCCTCAGCCCACAGCCACTTATTCATTGAATTTGTTCACTTCAACATTGCTTTTCAATTTATAATAAAAGGGGATTAAAAGGAGATATTTTCAAGGAGGCTTGAAACCTGTCTTTGCCAAGCTGCCGTGTATGTGAGTTATCACAAACAAGCTGTCCAGAAATCTGTCCACCATGCCCTGTGTTTCTTTTCCTTGCCAACCTTGGTGTATCTTCAAGGTTGCTGGGGCATCAGCTGGCCTTCCTAAAAGTCTGGATGATCCCACAACTGATCCATCAGTTCCACCATTCAGTATTTACAATGTCAGTAACATCTATGGCACTGCCACTTTCATTACCCCTGCTGATGAATAAGAAGCTGAGGTGCATTTTAGTTGTGCAATAATCTGTACTGCAGGCAGAGAGAGATGATGGGTGAGGAGTGTGATGTACATCCAAGGGAGGTTGCTGCTTTGGCCTTACCTCCCTTGTCTACCAAAGAGAGGCTGGATCTGTTTCTATGCTAAGCAAGAAATCAGTGTCAGCAGTCATGTACAGTGCAGCATTATTCACTTTTTGTCCAGAAACATGATGACATTTTGTTGTTGCTTCTGTGCTTCTGCTTGTCCTACAACAAAAAGTGGGAAAAAAAAAATAACCAGATGCCAGAACATCCTTTAAATGACATAATTCCTTCTTTTCCTCCTCCAAGGCTATGAGATGGCAGTCTCCCCTGACACAGAGTATTTCCCTGCTGACTGGCTGGGGGCTGAGGTTTCTGGAGCGACCCTGGGGATTGTGGGAATGGGCACCATTGGTTACAAAGTGGCTGAAAGAGCCAAAGCCTTTGAAATGAAGATTTTGTATCACAACAGGAGTCAGAGGTAAAGCTGGTTGCGGCTCCATGGCAACTCTATTTTGTCACTGCTTTTAAACATTATTTGTACCTTTCACTGTGCTTTCACTTTTCACTGAGCTCTTTAAGTGCCAAAATACATACACTTGTTTCAGGATGGTCATTAATTTCCCAATTTATACAGAAAGAAAGTCAGCAAGGAATGGGAGAGATGTATCTCACTGGTCTCCCTGTGAGTTGGGGCTCCCTGATCCTTCCTATCATGGTGGTGACACTACAGTAGATTAAGGAAAGGAGAAAACTGTCTGGGAGGACATAAGTCCTGCAACTTAGGTGAAGCAGGGATTCAGGCAGAGACACCCTTCCAGAGCCAGCTGATAATAAAAAGCCAGACTTGCCAGTCTGTTTACTGTCTTCTAGCTGTGCTCTCTGCCCCTCTGCTCCCATCAGGCCCATCCCATCCTATTCTTTTGTGGGAATCTGAGGAGAGCCAAGCAGTTCATGCCCCAGACTCGTCCTGATAGAGATCAAATGCACTAGCAGGTCCTGCTGTGCTTGTGATTTCGGTGGATCAGCACTGGTGCACAGAGCAGTTAGGCTGCTGCTGACACAAATTTCTGAAGATTTAACCTCTGCTCTGTCTTGTGGGTTTCCTCAGCAATTTTTACAGTAGTTACTTTTCCCAGAGAAGGTAATTCTTGTAATACATCAGTCTTGCTTTTGGATTGGAAAAAAATCGCTGTTACAACCAGAAGCTGTGATACAAATTAATTTATCATTTATTCAGTGCATTTACATGATACTCATTTCTTACTTTCCATCCCCACAAATATAGAACTGCACGTTTGTGTACAGTTCACTTGGTATTATGGGAAACAGCTTAACATTTGTCTTTACTGAATTTCGGTCAGATAACCAGCTAACTGCTTTGCACTGTGGAGTGAAGAAAACAATTAAGAAACTTTTTCTCTAAGGGTGATTTGATCTTTTTCTTGTTTCTTGCATACTGAAGTTAAATTTTGGCTTTTTCCTGACAGAAAAAAAGAAGAAGAAAGTGCCGTTGGAGCTGTTTACTGTAAAAAGATAGATGATTTGCTCCAGCAGTCAGATTTTGTGTTGCTGACTGTGAACCTAACTCCACAGACACACAAACTGATTGGGAAGAGGGAGCTGGAGCTGATGAAACCCACTGCTACTCTCATTAATATTAGCAGAGGTGAGGTGCAAAATAAACAAAACTGCATTGAGGTTTGCTGGCATGACAAGTCCTGGGAAAACCCAACTCTAATATGGAGTCCATCACTCTAAAATTTTCCACAAATTCTCTGATTACTAGATTATTTAGATGCCTGTGGTTGCATCGCAGTAAAACATTTGAGTGTTCCTATAAAAACAAGCAAGCAAGTCTCTGAAATGTTAGTGAGCTTGGAGTGTTAGAAGCTCACATATACTTACATAACCTCCTACTTAAACTTTTTATTTATTAAATGCAGTGTTGTTGCACATTAATAAATAATAATGATAATGATAATGATAATGATAATGATAATAATAATAATAATAACAATAATAACAATAATAACAATATGGACTAATAATATGGTGGCACAGCCTGATATAAAGCCTGGCACTATACTTTATTTCATGCTGCTAATTCCCAACTGTTCAACACTGATGCACATACCCAAGCTTCCTCCTCCCACTCCATCACACTCTGGTGCTGCTTCTGCATTGTGATCATGGCTAGCCCTGCTGTTTGCCTGACCACTGTGACTAAAAGGATGGTAAGAGAACAGTACAGAATATGAAAATAAACATAACCTTCTTACTGTAACCCAGGTCTGGTAGTGGATCAGGATGCTTTGGTGGAAGCCCTTCAAAACAAAGTTATTAAGGCAGCTGCTCTGGATGTGACATATCCTGAACCTTTGCCAAGGTAGGACATGTACTTAAATAAAATGAGTGTCTGTGTGAGTTTCAAACTGAGTAAAATTTTGTGAGCATATGAGAAGTTGCATAATTTTGTTAGTATGAGTATATGATGTATGTGCACTAGGACTGCTGAAACCAGGTCCCCAGTCCTTCTGTCCCAGCCAAACAAAAATCACATTGACTCATTTGGAGGATATGTTGCATAAAACTCCACCAACCTAGGCACCACTTTGAACTGCTCTGAGTATGCTTGGGTCATGCAATTGTTTTTGTTTGGCTTTTTTTTTAATAATTATTTTAAATATTTCCCTGACTTACCTAGAGGTGATGAAATAGATAACAAATATGCTGCGAGTGCCTAGCTCGGCATTTCTTTTCCTTTCCCAGGGACCACCCTTTGTTAAAGCTGAAGAATGTCATAATAACTCCACACATCGGAAGTGCCACCAAGAAGACACGCCGCATTATGATGGAGGAAATGACAGAAAGCATACAGGCGGGCCTTGCAGGTCTTCCTATCCCTCATGAAGTGTTGCCATAACGTGGCTTGCACTTAACATTAATGCCGTTAGTGGTTATCCCGGCGTGACAAAACAGTAATTCGATCACTTTTCATGTAATTATCCCATGAGTATTACACAGATAAAATATATAATGTTTAATTTGTTTAAATAACAGACAGCAATTCTGTCTGGAAAACCTGCAGTATTTTGTCGTGACCTTCAATGAAAAACCCCAATGTCTTGCACCAGTGTAATTTATTTTGCTCACATCCCCCGACAATTGCCCATGGATGCTCATCATCATCATCATGGCTAGGCTTTGCGAACGAAGATTTGGGAAGGCACTATCCACATTTGCTACAGGTATGCTGGTGGCTTATGAGGCCAATACATGACAGACATATCCGATTGCAAAAGGCACAGCAGAGAGACTCCTTAGATGGTGTATTCTGCAAGACACGGTTCTTTCTGCGTTGCCTTTTTTCCTCGAGAGTGATCCTGCGTGTGTTCTCGAAGGAGACAGCTGCGTTATAGATGGTGTGTCTCCAGGCCTCCCGATTGGAGGCCAGAGTAGACCAGTTATGGTGACCAATACGGCCAAGGCTGAGATGTTGTTTCAGGGAGTCCTTGTATCTTTTCTTCGGGGCTCCTCTCATGCGGCAGCCAGTGGCAAGTTCACCATAGGGCAGGATCTTAGGGAGGCGGTGGTCCTTCATCCTTGAGACGTGCCCGTGAATGCAACACCGAATTAAAGGAACATGTAAACCGCGAGTTAGAGGAACCACCTGTTCGAGCGGCTGCTCCCGCCGCTCCAGCAGCAATCCTGACCTTTGGGCGCATTTTCGCTCTCCAGACACCTGTGCACAGCTGCGCCAGCGCGGGGCTCGGCTCTGCATGTGTGCGAGCCTTCCCCTGCCCGAGCCTCAGGTTGGCCCGTGGCCGAGGGCGGCTCGGCCTCTCCCCGTCCTTCCCTCTCTCCCTCCGGGGCCGGCCCAGGCCGCCGCGCCGACAGGGGGAGCCGCCGCCGGAGCCGGGAGCTCAGTAGGGCCGGGCCGGGCCGAGCCGTGGGCCGCGGCGGAATGTGGGGTGCCCGGGCGGCGGCGGCGGCGATGCCGCGGTGGTGCCGGGCCCTGCACGGCTCCGCCGCCCTGGGCGCCTCCAGGAACCTGCTGCTGCGCAAAATGCTCCGCAAGAACAAGTAGGTGCGGGGCCGGCGGGCGGCGGGGCCCTCCTACCGGGCCGGGCAGGGCCGTGCCTTGGCGTTTGTGGGCGCCGGGACAAGGGGTGTAAGAGGGGCTGTGGGGTCCCCGGTGGCACGAAGGAGAACCTCCCACCCCCGAGCCGCGCTACGGGCACCGCCTCCAGTGCCGCGGGGCTCTTCTGATATCGGTGCTTCGGTGTTGTGCCAAGTCACCCCCGATCTCAGTTGGTCGGCAGCGGCTGAACATGAGCCAGCAGTGTGCCCGGGTGGCCGAGAAGGGCAATGGCATCCTGGCCTGTATCAGCAGTATGTGGTCACCAGGACCCGGGCAGTGACAGCCCCTGTGCACGGTGGCACGGGTGAGGCCGCACCTCGAATCCTGTGTTCATTTTTCGTTCCCTCAGTACATGAAAGACATAGAGGTGCTGGAGCGTGTCCAGAGAAGGGCAGCGAGGTTGTTGGGTGGTCTGGAGCACAAGCCTGATGCGGATGAGCTGAGGGAGCTGGGGGCGTTTAGCCTGGAGAAAAGGAGGTTGGGAGGACATTATCGCTTTCTACAACTACGTGAAAGGACGTTTTAGGCAGGTGGGGATTGGTCTCCCAGATTACGAGCAACAGGACAAGAGGAAATGGCCTCAAGTTGCACTGAGGGAGGTTTAGATTAGATATTAGGAAAAATTTCTTCACTGAAAGAGAAGAAAGGTCAAGCAATGGAATAGGCTCCCCAGGAAAGTGGTGGAATCACCGTCATCCCTGGAAGCGTTCAGAGAACGTGTACATGTGGTGCTTGGAGGCATGATTTGGTAGTGGACTTGGCAGTGCTGGGTCAGTGGTGGGACTCAATGATCTTAGTGATATTTTCCAACCTTAATGGTTCTATGACTCTCCAACCTTAATGGTTCTATGACTCTGAAGAAACTTCATTCTTTCCCCCTCCTCCCCCTGCTGTCTATGTGCATGGGAAGTGTTGCTACTGCACCCCAGCTGGGGGGAAAACTATTTGTGGACATGAAAACCTAGGTGGTGGTGGTATGTGCCTTCAGGGAGGTGGCATTTTAATTACACAGAGAATACATTGTTTCTCTGAGCTGCTGAAAGATAAAGCTGATTTCCTTTTTTTTTTCCAAAAGAAAGAAATTTTGGTATGACAGCCCTACCCTGGGATCTAAAATGGTAAGTGCAAGCCCTTAAGATGCTATGTTCCAGTAGGAAAAAACTTCTTGTTCTGCCATTGATTCCAACCTTGGGAAAAGCATTTTCTCAGGGAGAAATGGCAAAATTTCGTGAATGTACACTGGTGCTCCAGTTTCACTGCGACATGCCAGGATTGCCATCCAGAGAAGCAGTTTGGCTCCCCATGGCTGTTTCTTCCTCTGTATTGATTTTTCATCTGTACCAGCATCAGTGCTCTCTTGCATGCTCTTGAGTGCATTGCAGAGAACTGATCTGTGTTGAAACTTCTACAAGCTTAGTTTAGTGAAAAAGTTTTTTAATGTTTGTTTTTCAAACAAGCAATGCTTTTCAGTCAATACATGCTGTATTTTAGAAAACAGATTTATTAACCTGTATAACTTGCTACAAAATAGTAAGGAAACTTAAGAAACTTAGACTGTAAGACATGAAGGTCAGAGATTTTATGAACAGAAATATTCTTTTTTGAAACACTTGATACATAAGACCTATGTAAAACCATCACAGCTGCAATAATGACATTCTAAGAGCATACTTAGTAGAGTGCATAGAACTGTATATAGTTACCTAGTACAAGTGTGTAACTACTGATTAATGTGTTGTTTGTTTTTTTAAGATGTATAAACCAACCAAGTTGGACGCCCTAATGAAAAATGAGCAGACAAAAACTAGGAGAGAAGATAACATACGCTGCAGAGTCTTGAATGGTCTCATTCATAAAGCTATGTCACAGATGGTGACTACCTGTGAAGTCAGTCAGGAATTTTATGATCTCAAGCTGGAAATCTGCAAGGCAAGTGCCAAAGCTACATCTTGTGTTGAGCCACTCTGGCTGTGCCATGAGGTCAGCATGGTGTGCCAGAGGAGCTCCCCTGGGTGTTGTGATGTGTGCAGGGGGAGTTTCACTGCATCGCTTCTAATATGGCAGAATGCAGCCAGATCAGGCTCAGGTGTACACACTGGGAGAGCTTTGTCACTGTTGTACCTGGCTTAGTAGACCTTTGCCACTCTAGTGCAAATACAACTTATGCAAACTAAATGGTTATTCTCCTGGTATGACTTTTTTTTTCCCCTGTTACTCAGACATAAACTCTTTGCCTTGACTTTTCATAAGAAGTCTGGTTTTACCAGAGTATCTTTCCAAGAGTCTTTTCTTCTCATAGCTGTGTGAGAGTTGTTACCTCCTTGTGTCACTCAGCAGCAATATTACAGGCGGAAGACCTAAGTGAGGGATGAGCTTAGTTCAGAAAAAAGGCAAGCATAAGAAAATGTCATTGTAAAGCAAGATTCGAGAAAGATTTTGGATTTGTACCTAATTGTAGCTAATGCTGTAATTTGTGGGTTCGACAGGGACGTTAAACCTCTGATTCAGGAACTAAGTCACCTTCCACATTCTTGTTTGTTGTCTGTAGTTTTTATCTTCCACATATGCTGTTCTGTAAAGACTAAGTTATACTAGCTTTTGGCTTAAAAGCATGATGGACTTATTAGAAGGATGGGAAAAAAATTGCACATCATAGCTGCACATATAAGAAAAGGTTTGTTATTTGTGACTGAAATAGATGTTGTTGCCAGCTGAATTTGTTCCATCTTCAGGCAAGTGATTAAAATTACATGGGCAAGATGAGTCTTTTGGCTCTATTTGTGCAGTACCCTTCATATAATATTTCTGTCTCTTAGGGCTTTGAGGGTTGCTTGTCTAACTTGGATTGCATGTCTGCACATAAAAATACTGGCTGGTGTGGGCAAGCCACAGCATTCTCAGGATGCACTGCTGGAACTGAAACAATGTATAACACGAGAGAGAGAAAGAGACAACCTCCTTCCGAATATAATTCAGATTTTATAACTGCTTAGTTGTGCTGCACAGGGACATGGCAGGGAGTAGGTCAGTCCTGATTTACTCCTGAGCTGATTCTGGTACAATATCATTACTTCTGTTATCAGAAGAAATTTTCTGGTAGGCTTCCTGCAATCCATCAGAGACTTCATTGTACATGAAGTGTGTGTGTGTGTGTATAATTTTAAAGATATGTTTGCCTTTTTACAGGTGTCCCTGTCGTCAAACTTTTCAGCATGTCGTGTGTACTGGAATCCTGCTGCTACTATGGAGAAAGAAAGCTATGTGGAAAGTGTGCTGCGGAAGAGCGCTCCACGTATACGGTACTGCTGTGGGATAGACAGGCCGCTGCATAAATTCATAGCCATGGACTAGTGCCATTTCTTAAGGACTTCTAACAGTCTATATCTGGCCTACTGGGATGCCTTAGGTTTCTAGATACTTAAGAGTCAGAGCATCTCCTGTGATGAGCCTCACAGGGAAGGGTGGCTGCGACAGACCAGCTGCGTATTCTCTTGCTAGAGCACAGCTGGCTTATTTGGCTTCTGTGCTTTTCCAGGACTGGAGTGGGCTGAGCAGAAAACAAGAGGAGTGTGGATGAGGTTTCACTCCATTGTACTAGAGGTGGTGGGCTGGACGTGCTCTGAGTGACAGAAGGCCAGAATGGCATGCTGCACAACGGACTGGCAATTCCAAGTATCTCCTTACAGATTCATTGAGCAATTCTGATTGCTAGGGACAATTTAGACCTCCAGAAGGGGTGACTAATGTTACAGAAATTCTTCACAGCACCAATTAAAAAAAAAATTCAGGATGCTACCATGTATTGTGATGCTTTTACCCATTTTTTCAGCACAGAGTCCAGCATCCAGGAAGTTTTCAGGGTATTATTGAGATTTTTGTCTCTCCCTCTTTCTTGCTTCCCCTATGCTATCAAGCCAGTGGGTTGGAAGTTCAGGATTTAACTCCATGTGGAAGGTGACATAGGAGCATACTTGTAAAGCCTTTTACTTTCCACCTGTTTCCCTAGGCTATGTAATTCCTGCTCCAGCACAATGCTCTCTTCTACTCCCAACAGCTTCCACTTTTTGAAAAGGAAAGTTGCTGGCTGGGGAGAAGACAAGGGGAGCCCTGTCAGTCCTTTCTGCAGCTAGCATGTAGGACTAGTTGTCTTGCTCTGCTCTCAGGACTCTATCCTCCATTGCTCTCACCCATACGGTGGGGATAAGGATGCCAATGAAGTGGGGAAAGACTTGTGCATATAGATTGAGACAATCTATTATCATCAATACTAATGTCATCAATACTCAGTGGGATCTGCAGCTGGTAGTTTTTGTATGTTATGCATTCAAAGTTGGGATTCTGCAGTGACGTATTGCTTAGCACTAACTTGAATAGCTACCCATCAGACTGTAAGTTTTGCAAACCATATCTTTAATGTGCAGTACTGCTAGAATTAATTTAACACATTTTACTTGTCTTGGAGATGCTCTACTGATACTCATACTGGTGAATGCTGTATTTTTGCCAGGTATCTTCTGAAGAGTCAGCAAATTCTAGGAAATGTACCCCCAATAATATTTATAAAAGACAAAGAAGCTGCAGCTGTGAAAGAGGTAATTCTATTCTTTGACTCAGTGTACAAATATAATGACATAGGAGAGAGCTGATCATTCAATTCCTCTACCAATCTATATTCAAAATCACTCTTTATCTGTACCCTTTCTTCTTCAAGTTCCAAAGCACTTTAACAAACAATCTTTAGTAAGGTTGAGGCTTCTGTACAATGTAAAAGAATTGTAGGTTGTATCATTAGGTCAATAAAGAAATTCTAAAAAAATTAATTACCATTTTAAGGAATAGTTGCCTGATGTACATGATAATAGAAATGAGGTTGGAAGAGCTTTCTTCCACATTTTAAATGTTACGTGATTTAAAATTCCAGTGAATCTAACCAGTGACTTGTTTATTTTTATTTTTTTCCCCCAATCTTTTTCCACCTGTGAATTGTTAAAATGTTTTTAGAGAAGTGCAGATCTTTACATGGGGGATGTAAGCTCACTCATACTACATTTTTTCCTTCACTTTTAAAATTATCTTTACTATTTCACATTTTCTATCAAGGTGTTGATAGTTTTAACTACTTGATATATTCCTAGAACAATGATGTTTCCTAGAAATTTGCTGTCATTAGAACTGTGAAGCGAGATCTCTTAAATAGTGAGATTTCCAGAAGAGAAGAATGACATCAATGAGTAGAATTTAATGAAAAAGTCTCCTCAAGCTGTTGATGTGAATAGAAGTTGGAAAGAATGTGTTCACATTTCTGTGCCCTGAAGTGCCCTATTCTTACATGTGTTACTATTACAACCAATTAATTACTGTTAGTGACTTATGGACTCCTACAGTGTGTGTGAGCAGGGCTGGAAAGAATAGCAAGAGCTTTAGACTCTCTAGAAATGCAGTGAACTGCTTGAACTTTCTGTGGTCAAAAAAATTCTGGGTTTCACACAAGACAAGTATAAACTCTCCTTATATTGCTTCTGTCAGGGAATGACATTGGAAAGCACTTAGATGGATCATCTTCTCCTACTTTGCAGTTCATCAGATTTATATCAACCACAGATTCAAATAACAGGGCTTGAAATAATGTAATTGAACCTGATTTTTAAGTTTCGGAAGTCAAGGAAAGACCATCCGATTAAACTCCTAGAATAATACACTGAATTAAAAGGGAATTAATGTAAAGAAAAGTTGCAATAAAAATTTCAGATGAGACCAAATTTTCACAATTATGTACAGTCTGTAAGCACTGAATATACTAGATTTGTAGCATTTACTGGATAGGTGCCATGTTAAAAGGGAGTTGGAAACTCCATAATTATGTGTAATAGAAATGCAAACTTGCAGAAAGTGGGAAGAGATGAAAAAAAACCTCAGTGTAAGGATGTTATGAAAAAGGATTCACAAGACTGAAGTAAGAGAACAAATAAACCAAAAATTACATGTCACACAATCCCTAGCCAATTGTTTATAATGTACAAGGCAAAAAACTTTGTAGGAATCCCTGGATACATTACACTATTTGACACAAACTTCCCAGGCAAAGAGTGGAAGCTGTTCCATGCTTATTGGAATCATGGAAGAGGCTATTTTAAAATGGTTTTGCTAAATATTTCAAACATGTAGAAAATCAAATATTTGCTGCTACATGCTTGTCTGTTTCTTTAAGGTGTGCATGAAGTAGATTTAATATAGGATCTTTAAAATGTGTTGCCTTCATGTGTTTACAGGTCGAGGACTTATTGGCAATTGCTGATTTTGGACCTCCTGAAGAAGAAGAAGAAATATTTGAAAATGATTCAAGGTGGGTCTTTTTGAATCAGAATTGTACAAGTGCCCATTTTCATCTTTGTTGGCCGACTTAAATTGGGTATCATTTGACATGACAGAAAGTATATTTTAATTAGATTTGTACGTTTTTATTATCTCAGAGTTCAGCAAATGATGTTATGAAGAAATAAAAAGTAGAAGAGAGAGTCTGTTTGGAAGACCTTACCAGAAAAGTATCTCGTCTTTTGAAGAGATAAGATTTTTTTAATTGATTTTTTTTTTTTATGTAAGAGACTATAGAATAGCCAAGGACAAAACTAGTATGTAATCATCCCAGAACTTAAATGTAGAGGACGACATTTTATTTTGTGACTCAAGTTTCTTTACCAAAGTTACACCCATTTATTAAAATTAAGGGAAAATATTTCTTATTTTGTATGCTCTGATTTACTTCCATATTTTAGTGTAGACACATTTTCATAGGCTATTTTGTCATTGATTCTTGTACACAGATCTGACCACAGCTTTGCAAAATATGAAAAAGGAAGGTCTATTTTGTTACATATAAGTGAACCTCTGTAAAACTCTGGAGAATGACTGAATTGTCACTTGTAACAGCACAGTGTGTATTCTTTCAGAGGCACCCATAACGTGGTATCAGAACCACAGTCTTAGAAATCAGCTGTGTTTCATGTCTATACTTTGAGTGACATAGCCATCAGATTTGTTACTTGCAGACCCAATACTTGTTCTGGTATTAATATCTTGATTTTTGTGAGGGAAATAAATGTAGAATTTCTAAGATTCCAAGACTTGATGTTGTTTATGATAATCAAATTTAAAAAAAATGCTTTGCAGCAGTAATATTTGTTGCTTGCTGGTAATTTTCTCATAAGAATACCAGTGCTCCTCTACTTGGCCATTTTTTTCTGATATAAGTTCAGTATGTTATATGTGAGTTACAAGTTTACTGACAAATCTCCCTAAGTTAATTTAGCATTCTTCTGTGAGGGATTTTTGGCTATTGAGAGATAGGGCTAAACAGTCTACTGGAATAGTGATTTTGTGGACTGGATGCTCTCAAAGCCAACAGCCTTTGTACCTTGGGTGCTGCAGTCTGTTGGTAGAAATGCCTTCTGTGCCCCGGCGTCTCACAGGATGGTTCATCAGGGGCAAATCAGAAATAGCTTCCTGTGGGAAGTCATTGCTGACAGATTTCCCACATGGCACCTAACATCTTCCTCTGTGTCTTGTGGAAATACTGAAGTCCAGCATAAGGTGTCGTATACATGAGTCTGATGTCTTTTGGGCACAGGCTGCTGCTTCTCACTTCTTGGAAGAGCTCGGGAGAAGCCTTAAATTCCTTGGGGCTCCGAGGTCCAGTGTTCACTCTGTTACTCTTTTAAGAGACAAGCAGTTTCATCTGGAATGTCATTGTTTTATTGGCTTTCCCCCATTAAATCTGTTGACAGGCTTATACACAAACTGTCCTCGGACATACGATACAATGGCATCTCTTCCTTCTTAACATGGGTAGCACAGTGCTGAACACAGGGAATTTATAAAGTCAAACTGAAAACTCCAGTTTATTTCCATATTACTCAAGTTGTCAAAATTACCCCTTGAAATATGCACAGAGAGAAACCCCCCAATATTTGTTTTCTTTTTCACAGTAAACTGTTCTCTTCAGCAACTCAATCTTCAGGGCCACCCATGCGGTCTAATCTGTTTGGTATTGATCATGAACTGCTGAATAAACAGATAATGGACTATAAAAGACTGAAAGGGTCAAGACATATAGAAAGCATTCCCTGGACAGAAGAGCAGGAGCAGCAGCTTTCTGAGATTCGGAAGAAAATGAAAAAGAGAAAACCAAAGAATCCTGATGATGACGACATTACACCACAGAAATACTTACTGGACAAATATGATGCTGATTACTGGGATGATAACACTGAATCGGTCTCAGACTATGAGTTGGAGGAAGAGGTAAAGGAATTGGAGATGGATGATGGCAAACATTTAAGTCATCCTGCTGATAAACTAAAATGAAGTGAAAAAGCCACTCCCTTCAAAATGGAGGATACCAATAGCAAAAAGACTGCCATAGATACTGAAAGGTTGTTTACCTGGTTACCACTTCCATATGTAAGAAAAACGAAAATGCCATTTGTGACATTCTGTTAAGCACCTTTCAAGCTGCTACAGTTGTGGAACTTTGAACAAGAGAGCAGTTTTATAATAAAATACACCAACTGCAGCACTGAGGTAAAACTTCTTGCAGTTGTGCTGATTATTTCCAATAAAATTATAGTTTCTATATTGCAAGAAAATGCCTTTTTCTTTTGAGTGACTTGGATAAAAATTATCACAAAGTGATGGTGTCGCTCTGAGGTCAGGAAGGAAGAAGGAAGCAAAATAATGACAGTGCTGTTCAGGCTTCAGCCCACAAAGACCAGGATAGGGAATTCTCTAGAGGACCCAGTCTAATGGAGGGAACTCTTTCTACAATGTGAAACTCATTGGAATTATGGCCAGTAAAGTTACAAATCTGAAAGAAAATAAATTTAGAAAATTACTGTTGTGCAAGGGAAACTGCAGCCAGAAGAGAATGGAGAACTGCTCATCCCTTGGGTAAAATCAGGCAAAACATTGACTGTGACTTAAAACTGTATTAACAACTCAAAAAGTCGAGAAAAAACAGCAGGGAAGAATGCCCCAGTAACTGTTTGAGATCTGAAAATTATTAGGAGATTATATAAAAAGTGAGAATAAAGCTTTCTGACTCAAGCACGTAAAAATAACAGCATGACTGTGTAAATTCAAAGGGCAGAAGCTTCAAAGAAATTATAATGAACAAGGCAGTAAAATGGAATTCTATGAGAAATACAGAAAAATTAATTCCTTTAGTAAAGAAAGACAACAGAGGGGAGATTACACTCTAGTAGAATCACAGAATGGTTTGAGTTGGAAGGGATCTTAAAGATCTTCTAGTCCCAACCCCTCATGCCATAGGCAAGGACACCTTCCACTAGACCAGAGTCCCATCCAACCTGGACTTGAACATTTCCAGGCATGGGGCATCCACAGCTTCTCTGGCCAATCTCTTCCAGTGTCTCACCACCCTGACAGTGCACAGTTCCTTCCTCATATCTGATCTAAATCTTTCCATTTAAAACTGTTAGGCCTTGTCCTATCACTACCTTTAAAGAACACTGCAATCATCAGTCACAGTCAATGTTGGTTTCATATAGAAAAAGTCCTGAGGCATGAAGGGAAAGTGGTGGATGTAGTTTTTCTGGGTTTTTGCAAGGCTTTTGGTATTGTGGGACAAGTTGTCCAGCTGTGGGATGAGCAGGTTCATGGTGTACTGGGTGAAGAATTGGGTGAAGGGCAGAGCTCAAGGGTTTCAGTGAATGGGGCTATATCTGGCTGGTGACCAGTCCCTTGTGGGGGATCAGGGGTCAGTTCTAGGTCAAATTCTGTTCAGTATATTTATCAGTGATTTGGATGCAACAGTTGAATGCGCCATTAGTGAGTTTGCTGATGATACCAAACTGATCTGGATAGATTGGAGCACCGAAGAAGGAGTAATACCAGGCACAAGTCTAAACTGGGAAAGGAGTGGCTGGAGAGCAGTCCAGCAGAAAGGGGTCTGTGGTTGCTGGTTGGCAACAGGCTCAATATCAGTCAGCAGTGTGTGTCTGAGCAGCCCAGAGGGCAAACCATGTCCTGGGATACATCAAATACAGCATCACCAGCCACTCAAAAGAGGTGATTATCCTGCTGTATTTGGTGTTGGTGTGGCCTCACCTTGAGTATTGTGTGTGGTTTTGGGCCCCATGATTTCAAAAGGTTGTGAAGGTCCTTGAATCCATCCAGAGGAAGACACCAAAGCTGGTGAAAGGGCTCCTGTGAGGAGCAGCTCAGGACACTGAGTTTTTCATGTTAGGAGAGAAGGAGAATGAGGAGCAACCTCACTGCTCTCTACAGCTTTCTGAGGAGGGGAAGGGGAACAAGGTCCCTCTTTTCCATGGGACCCAGTGCCAGGTCATGTGGGGATGGCTCAGAGCTATGTCCCTCAGAGGAAGTTCAGACTTGACATAAGGAAACATTTCTTTACCCAGAGGGTGATCAAACCCTGCTGCAACAGGCTTCCAAGAGAGGTGGTCCATACCCCAAGACTATCAATGTTAAAGAGGCATTTGGAAAATGCCCTTGCCTTTTAGCAACTATGCTTTTTAGTTTGGTCAGCCCTGAAGTGGTCAGGCAGTTGGACTCAGTGTTCATCCCTTCCAGCTCAGCTCTGTGATTCAATTTGATTTGATTTGACTCCTGTTGCTCTCTCCTCCTTTCCCTACCAGTACATGCTAAGGAAATCTTTGATGACCTTTCTTCCCAGCCCTGCACTGGAGAAGGGATGGAATGCGCTGCTATGTCCCAGCCTGGGCATTGGCTCTGTCACTTTGTAGCAAGGAGGCATGTACCTTCTGATGGGGGTGAGAGCTGTGCATCATCTTGAGATGATTTGCCCACTTAAACACATTTGCAAAAAGCACATGGAAACTTTGTATTTTGAAAGTCTTCTGTGTTTATCCAGTTTAGCTGGATCTCCACAGGATGTCAAACCCCATGTCTCTGACACTAGAGAACCAAAGATCTGGGCTTTAAGATCAAGCCCTCAGTCTGGAGCAGGAAGTGCTCCAGAACTAAATGGTTACAAACCATTTGATGTGAGCAATACATGTTCATTTTCCTGTGGACTTTTTTTTCTCCTTGTACCCAGCAGTAGAAACGCCTGAGCTGTTTCCCTTGGAAACACGTTAAAACACAAGACTCAGATATGGCATACAAAATGTGCTCCAGTCACACGGTAAAACTTTCAGAGATCATTGGTGACTTTAATGTTTCTGAGAGCTGTCTACCTCCATTCATGTGGAAATGTTCAAAGTTTAACCAGAAGCTTGGTAAATCTCTTATTCCTTTAGAATTTAGTATTTTGAGTCTTGAAAGATGAAGGAATGTACTATTCTTGCAATTTTCTACGTTGGGTACAAAATTAGTATGTACATTCAGACTATGTAAATAAGGGCATTTCTACCACAGATGTTCATCTGATTGTGGTGAAGCCAGAGCTGAAAGACAGGGTTTTGGTTCCTTCTGCATGAACTCTGCAGAAATGTAGAGAGCATGCATGATTTCCTCACCATTCCTTCCCAATGCACCAAGGGACATTTGCTACTACACTGTTGATGGTGAGGTCTTCCTTTTGGAAAGAAGTACTGAATTGTTTTGTGTTCTTGACCATCATTTTGCTTGTACTTCAGTAGCTCTTTTTCTTCTTTGGACTTCATCCTTGCTACCTTTCTTGAAACTGATGTCAGCCCTCTCAGCCTTTGTCTTGCTCCTGCTAGTCATCTTCTTACTCTGTAGGCCCTCCATGCCCTTACTCAACTGCTTAGTCTTTGTTTGCCTTCACCCCAGATAGAATTTCTCCTTCTTGAACCTGAGGAATAAGAAATGTCCGCAGTGGTACGGGTGAGTAGAAAAATACAGAGCGCATGCTCAGTGAGGGGTGGTCATACCTTGGATATGGGTAGCTTTTGGGGTGGAGGTGTTTTTTGGTATTATAATGAGCAAAGTTCATCCACAGGACACGATTTTACCATAAAATTAAGCAATTGCTCGTTCAGCAACCAATACATGTCTTATGTGGCAGATGCTATGCGGTTTATCAGCTACAGGATACTATTAACTTCACATACTTGCAGTGATTTACAACAGAGCCTGGCTGTGGTGTCTCCACTGTGCTCCACCCTCCGTTCTATTTCTCCTAAGGTCAGCACATCAAGCTTCCCTAGTGCTGCCAACAACTAAGGTTGCAGGCCATCTTGCTCGGGTAACAGATTCCTTACATGCTAACCACATTCCACCCTGGAAGTTTCCTTAGGATTACAACTTCTTCTAGGATGTGGATATAACTTTAGTCTCAATAATTTTTCCCCAGTAATTCTAGTAATAACTTCACACCCTGTGACCTGTTCATGCCTCTAGGGACATTTGCCTACTCCTATATTTCCAGGCTGGAGCAGAAACCCATGACGTTTCACCTGATGTTGTTCTACCTATTTCTACAGTGCAGTTCTTCAAACCAGTTCTTATCATAGGGTCTAACTCTTCTGTCAGAGCTTCAGCTGGTATGGAATATTTGGGCTGTAAAAATAGATCATGAGATACAGTTCTTTTTGTTTCATGGGTGCCATGAAATCCAGAATATGATGTGGACAAGGAAACCTGCTTTTCTTGAACAATGGTTTTCTGCAATCTAAATTTGAATGACCTGACCATGAACTTCATTCATTCATATATTTGATGGCAACAAAGCCTGAAAGGTGAAGTCTGAGAGATGTGTTAATGAGGCTTCCACCCATCGGTAACCCACTGGAGTCCAGTTCCATGCTGTCACAACCAGCAGATCCAGCCCTCTGCCAGCTGGGTGAGCAACGGTGTGAGTGGGCTTCCAACATGAAGGAATTGGATGTCTCCTCCTAGAAAAGGAAATAACTACAGCTGGAATTAACTGAATTTCCATTTTAGAAGTTTCCTTAGAGAAGGTGTCAGTCACTGAGAAAGCTCCAGGAGATGAAACACTGGTGGGTCAGTGTGATGCAGTTTGTGGCACTGCTGTCTATGGGGATAAGCTTCCATTTAGAAAAAAATTCAACACGGTGACCATTAGCCTGCTCCTGATAGTTATACTCTGAATATGGTGGCTGGCCAGCTGGAAGTGAGAATTGCAGTAATCTGCAGAATCAATGTTAAGTGTCCTACTCTTAAAATTAATTACTTTTATTGCTACATCTTTTTTTACTGGAAGTGTCAGTTCTGTCTGATGAGCTACATATAATACTGTTAGTGCTCTCCACTGAACTCAGTTTAGTAGTTGTATAGCAGAGCAATAAATATGTAGTTGAGGTGTACTGAGCTAACATTCTTGGATGACTTGGAGGATTGCATCCACAGTGCAAGGCCTCTGATTGCATCCACCTCTGGGGTCCTCAGCACAAGAAAGTCATGGACCTGTTGGAGTGAGCCACGAAGATGATCAGAGGGATGGAGCACCTCTTCTGTGAGGAAAGGCTGAGAGGATTTGGGCTGTTCAGCATGGAGAAAAGAAGGCTCTGGGGAGACCTTATAGCACCTTCCAGTACCTGAAGGAGGCCTACAAAGAGAGCTGGAGAGGGACTTTTTACAAGGTCATTTAGTGACAGGACAAGGAGGAATGGC